AAAAAACAATTTCTAATTTATCATTAGTAGCAAAAAGCTAAAAGTAAGCATTCTAGTCCTAGTTCTTTTGTGATACTTTGAATGAGTCTTTTAAACTTTCTGCACTCATGATTTTCTTTTGCATAAAACAAGTGGATCGGGAGTTCCTGGTCCACTCAGAATCACTAGTCATATATTTGTAATGAAAAAAATTGATATTGTTGAGTAAAAAATAGCCTCAAATCATGACAAATTGTTCATCAGCCCAAGTATTCTTTTAAAATTGAAAATTGCTTCAGATGTTAAAAAAAATTGATCCTAAGAATAAAATACTTAAGACTTTTCCCTTTAAATATGTATTATATATTGTCAGTGAGAATGTACACAAATCTAGGTTTCAGTAAAAGAAACAATTTGTAAGTCCTTGGAATTTAGCATGAGCTTCCCAAGTAGACTCCATAGCAGAATTAAGAGGATTCGGGACAACTGCATATGAAATTTTCACTTAGATTTTTGAAGAAAAAAAATAACATAGATGCTTTCTGTCCATTTTTGATAACACATCCAAAAGTACCTTATTCTAAGAGGTGAGATCTGATCTCTTTTTAATAAAAGGAGGGAGAGCCAGGCACCAGTGGCTTGCACCTGTAATCCTAGCTATTCAAAAGGCAGAGATCAGGAGGATTGCAGTTCAAAGCCAACCCCAGGCAAATAGTACTGAAATTCTATCTCAAAAAAAAAAATCCATACAAAAAAAGGGCCGGTGGAGGGGCTCAAGTGGTAGAGCATCTGACTAGCCATGTGAGGCCGAGTTCAAACCCCAGTGCCATAAAAAAATAATAAGTATAGTGAGAATAACATCATGGTAGATTAGTTGTAGTTTTTGCATTGTCTAAAAAGTCTACTTACATTAGTGATGACAGAAGTTCCAGTTATGGAACAAGATTCCTATCCATACACATCAAAACTCAGTTCTTAAATTTTGTATGAAGTATCTTTTAGCAAATAGCTTCCCTTTTTAGTTTTACATATAATGGTGTTCACCCAAACTGAAGCATAGGTTATGTAATGAGGACAGTTTAATTCATCCAAAGATGTCTAGATTTTTTTGGTTTTAAAGTAAATAATTCAATTTTTTGGCATTGTTTATGGTATTATAGTGTTTATCAGAAATATGCTATAACTAATATTTTATAGTCTGAAGATTGGTAGGAGATGGAGAGTACATTAGTTTCCTAGTGCTGTTGCTGAAGCAAATTACCACAAGTGCAGTGGCTTTGAACAATGCAGATTTCGAGATAAGAAGTCTTAGCATCAATTGTCCATGGACTGTACTCCCATGGGCTCTAGGGGGGAATCTGTCTCCTTTCTTGAGCTTCTAGAGGCCATCTGTGTTTCCTGACTCATGGCTCTCTCCCTCTTTAGGGCCCACAGCATACCATCTTTCAGATATCTCTTTCTTCTCCCCTCCTCTCCCTTTCTTTTCTGACTTCCACTTCTGTTTTCATATCTTTAACTCTGACCCTTTCCTCTCCTTTTGTAAGGAACTAGTGACTTTATTGGGCTTGCCTGGGTAATCTCACTTCAAGGTCCTCAATTTAATTACATCAGCAAAAAATCCCTTTTACCATGAAAGATAGCACACTCATGGGCTCTGAAGATGAAGGCCTGGGCAACCTGGGGAAGAAGTTCAGCCAAGCATAGAGCTGCTTGTGCTCTAGAAGTAGAGGTCATGGCAAACCTAGTTCATGTTTGCTTGTCAAACTATTAGAGCTACTGTCCACAGCTCTTTTCTCTTCCTGATAGTTTTTGTGGACATTACATATATACTTGAGAAGAAGATATAATTTATATCATTGGGGTATATTATGAACATATTCATAGGACAGCTCTACCTTAAAAGGCATGTTACCTTATTAATTGAGGGATTTATCATTAGGAAATTTTGCCATTTGAGGAACATCTCACAACGTACTTGTATAAAACTAGGATGGCCATGACATCACTTAGCAATATGATGTTTTAGGACCTCTATCACATGTGCAGTCCATCACTGACTGAAACATCATTATATGGCACAGAACTGTGTACTGTCAGTCTTTGGGTCTTTTGTTTTCCCTCCCTCCTTTCCTCCCTTTGTTTTTTTCTCTGAATTTTGAACTTCCTTGAACTGGGATTCATGTGTCAAAGTCTTCTGTAGTATTTATTGTTCCTCTTTCCTCATTTCCTGGAGTTTCTTTTTTATACAAGTAGTTGCTGTGTTGTATTTGACCCATAGCTAGTATAGATTCACAGATATTATCTTGGTCTTGTTTAATTTTTTTCTTCTTTGCCTGAATTCTTTTTCTTATACAACTTCTCAACATATGCTTTCTATTTACCTCATCTATGTTTGTCCATCCCTTCATTTTTAACCTTTAAGTTTTGATGTTCTCTGTTTCTGTATTTTATACTGCACAGCATAAAGTCAGGTTTTGCATTGTGCTCCAGTCTGAGGGTCTTTTTCTTCTAATAAGTCCAGTAAGCTTATTCATATTTAGCTGTATTCTTACTGTCTGTCCTAAACTCTGTCATATTTCATTTTCTAATGACTATTTTATGTTGGATTTACTGTTTATTTCTCCACCTGATGTACCTTTTCTGTGATTTTCAAAAAATTCTTTTGATATTTAGAAAAGTTGCATTTTTGTTGCATGGTTGTTGTTGTATATTTATATCTCTTATAGTGCCCTCAACTTTCCTTTTTTCTTGTATAATCTTTTATTGTCTAGTCTGTTCATTTTAAATGGCCTCTTGGCTCTTCCCTAGTTACCTAATTTATACAACAGTTAACGATACTCTTCCTTCCTCTGACTCCTCTTTTTTCCAATTGCAAGTTGTTCTTTTCCAAACATTAGGATTTTAAGTTTTTTCTTTTTTTGGCAGCACTGTGGTTTGAACTCAGGGCCTCGCTCTTGCTAGGCAGGCACTTTACCGTTTGAGCCACTCTGCCAGCCCCACAAAAGAGAGATTTTAAATATCATCAAATTTCTTAAAGCAAGGCATGAAAAGTATTTAATTCATAATAGTGGCAGTTTAACTCAAATTATTATATTTTCTTCTTTTACAGGAATTGAAACCTGATGTAGTAACTAAATCTGCTCTTGGTGATGATATTGACTTTGAAAAAGTCTGCAAAAAGGTATGTCTCTGGCAGAGACCAGGTGTCAGTGTGAAGCACCCTGTCCTGCCTCTTCAGTTCTTCTACAGTTCTTTCCTGGCATTCAGCTCTAAAACTCTTCTCCCACTCCACCCTTCCAGCAGACACCATCACCAATACCAAATTACAATATCCAAACACCCATCACTAGGAAAATTGGGAGTTTTTTCTCTATTACTTTCTATTTTTGGTTTTCTTCAACATTCATCTCTTCCTGACAGGTTTATTATTATCTCCCTATGGCTTTGCAATATTAAAGGGTGGATTCTTTTTAACTGCTTTTCTTATTAGAAGAAGATTCATCTTGCCCTCTGCTTTCTTAGAATTCATTATAAGTTTATATTTTCTTTATTTTGTCTTTCTATGATCATTCTCCACCAAGAAAAGAATATATTTTGGCTATGTATAGGACATGTACATTCTGTGTTGTAGGACCAATAAACTTAGAGATCAGTCCACTTCTGAAAACAGGATCCAGGGGAGGTGTAATTAGAACTTACTGTAAATTTTACTGAAGACTACCACTTCTAAAAGCAGTCCTGATGGCTTAAGGGGAAATAGAGCACTGATGAGTTCCTCTGTCTTCAGAAAGAAAACAGTAGCTAAAACATCCATACATGAAGCTGGTACTTTCTCCAGTTGATACATTTCCATAGACATTTAAATGACTGGTCTGCCATTAATGTGAATTTACCTTGCCTCAAATAATACATGTCCCAAATAAGTTTATGATAAATCTTACTTTATTTCTAAATAAAACTATATTCATATATACCCAATTCTCAGTAGTTTTTAAAATTTCGTCTAATATGGAACATTCAGTAGACAGAATATAGGACAGTATCATACCTTTTCCTTCCAATGGAAAATACTTCATTTATCTGTTTTCAGCATTTAATTTATAAATCTTAGTTGTTTATTTATAATATAATTAAGACTTGAAAATGTTTTACCTCCAAAATATCCACACATAGCTTGCCAAAATTCTTCTGATCCAGCCAAATGGACTGTTTCTAGTTGTCTTGCTAAATGTTTTTAATAAATATAAATGTTACTTTGTTGATTTATATCTTTAGATAAACTTTAGAATTAAAATTAAGCGCAATTAATTTCATGTATGGCTGCTAGCATTCTTTCTCATTTCATTTAGAGGTAGTTTCATTTCAAAGAATTAATATGGTACAGAAAAGAGCTTCAGTATTTTTAGATTGTTGTCTCATAGGTACATTTGCAGAATTCTTTTCAAAATTGAACACCAAATCCTTTTGTGTTCGCAATAAATACTCATGGCAAAATAAAGTTTTTCCATTAAAAGATGGGGTATTTTCCACTTTTTTTTTTAATTTAATTTATTTGAAGTGAAAGAAACTGGAGGTGTGTGAAAAACCACAGTTTCCTGGGAATTTTCCATGGCAAACATTGTGTCAGTTTTAAATAGGGAAAGCTGTGGATTCCTTCATACCTCCTAATATGAAGTCTCTTCATACAGGTGTAAAAACTGTTCATACTAACTACTTAGTAGTTAAATTTAAGTATTTGTGTTCCTCTTATATATCTCCATAACATTTTCAGTCTCTCAGGTGAAATTCATCACATTGTGCCTTGGGTTAGTCATTTATACATTTATCTTAACCTTTAACTTTTTAAATTAGAGCCACATTGTAACCTTCAAGATGGTCTTGGGCAGTGGAGTGGTAAGAGCACCTGCCTAGCAAGCATAAGACCTTGAGTTCAAACCCAGTACCACCAAAAAGAAAAAAAAAGATGATCTTTACATTGTCATGTGTAAAAAGATAGTTTCACATATAAGGGCTCATTAACTATAGAGAGGTGGTACTTTGAAAGAGCATGAGGGCAGTGAGGAGGGAAAGGAATGAAGTCTGTCTTAGGAGGACTGCCCTACTCAGTTCCAAGTTCCGGTACTTCACCCACTGCTGCTGAGCAACATGCAGACATTATTTCAATGCAGCAAAGACCCAAAACAGTCAAAAGGAGAAACCAATTTGCTTCACATGCTTTTTTCTTTTTTAAATGTTTATATATGACTTCTTTCCAAAAAAGATTTGAAGTGGGCTTTCTATAATTTTAGTGTAAAAATTTTGCATTTGGAATTGAGTCACAAATGAAAGAAAGTTACCTTAAATGGCTTAAAAAAAGCTTGTTGGGAATATTGCACTGAATTCAGAAACTTGATTTTGAGTTCCCACTTGTTCCTGTCTAGGTAATCTTGAAGTTAAGTCTAGACTTGGAAAGGTCTTTGGCTTATTTTCCCATTAGTTCTTATTAATGTTTAAAACTTAAAGCATTTTCTAAGCAGATACTTTAAAGCAACTGAGGCCAATAGGAGAAGGGGACCAGAAACTAGAGAAAAGGTTAGTTCAAGAAGAATTAACTTAGAAGGTAACAACACACATGCACAGGAAATCAATGCGAGTTAACTCCCTATATAGCTATCCTTATCTCAACTAGCAAAAACCCTATATTGCTTATACTCTCTTTTCAACAAAATTAGAGATAAGGGCAAAATAATTTCTGCCGTAGCGAGGGGGTAGGGGGAAAGGGGGGGGTGGGGAACAGGGGAGAAATGACCCAAACATTTTATGCACATATGAATAAAATAAAAATTAAAGAAAAATAATAATAAAAAAAAATTTTAAGTATTTTCTAAGAATAAAACTTTTAAGAATAAAATTAAAGAAAGGTTTAAAATTAAAATTGAGCTTAAGAATAAAATTAAAGAAGGCTTAAAATGTTAAATTTTACCTTTTTTACATAGGAAGATTTTAAAACTTTATTGAAGTAATTGCCATAGTTTAGTAAAATCTTTAATTAGTACTTACAAAGCATATAACTGATGTGTATATCAATAAGTTTTTCTACTGACAGTATTTTTGCCCATTAGAGTATTTTCCTACCTCAAAATTACAAGCAACTCAAATTTGGGAACCAGTTAACAGGCCATCAAAAATAAAGATGAATTTCTAAAACTAGCTAGCAGCTAGATAAATAAGGAATTTGAAGAGCCACCTGTATCTAAAAGATTTATATGCATATAACTTCTACAGTGTGTTCTGATGTTTATGGAGCCTTGATGAAATAATTTTCAATTCAATAAAACTTTCATTCTCATTATTATAACTTGCTATAATAAAAGTACTTGAGTATAACTTCAGCTTTTCCTTCTAGGCTGACAATTTAGATATGCTTCAGAAAGTCATCCATAGTATTCTTATTTTTGGTTGTTGACCCACTGCAAAGATTCTGCAAAGGAAAAGGCTTAAATTTTTGAAGTTTGCATTTTAACTAGAGTTGCCTTGTCACTAGCTTTGTGACTTCAGACAGGTTATCTACTATCTCTAGCTCATATTTTTTCTCATTTATGTAATGAGCCCTTACAGATCAGACATTCTGGTGAGCCATTTTAGTCAACCTTCAAAGTCATTATTGCATTGGATGAAAATGATAGGGCTCATCTCTTCAGTGTTATGTTACCAAAAAAATAGGTGTTTTATGTACCCTCTCCCAATTAGCAAGATTTTTATGCTCTGTCTGTATTGTATTATTTTTTGGTGTTTTCTTAAGTAATCTTAACTGACATTTTTTACTTTAAGTATACCAGGAGTAGTTCATTGTCTTAAAATGTTTGGCCATGGTATATTGTTGGCTCACTTTTTCAGATTTCTAGTTTATAAAGTTAGAAACAGTAAGAACTTTTGAGGTATCTATACCCAAATACCATTATACTACAAAGGAGATAGAACACATACCTTCAAGACAACATTTTTGTTAAACATATTCCCCTGGATGTGGCTCAGTAGTAGAGCACTTGCCTAACGCATGCAAGACCCTGGGCTTGATCCTATTTAGCACAGCCACAAAAAAAAAAAAAATCCCCAGGTAGATAAATAAGAACTTAAAAAGCTATTAATTTTCAACCTGTTGTTTGTGAAACAGGATTATATTTCTACCTATGAAAAAATATTATTTTAGCCACTGTTAAGAGCATGAGTACTGCCCCACAGTATAAACTCTGTTTTGTATTTATAGCTATTCAAAACTTGCCCAGAGGCACAAAATGTGTTCTCTGATGTAGAGTCATTACAGGAAGCCAAATGTCCACACCTCATCCTTTTCCTGAATAAACCACATTTTCATCAAATATTAGCAGCTGAACTAAGAAGCATAAAGCATCAGAATGTTTCATATCTTCCTTAAAATAACTACCCTTTTAACAAAGTACTTATTAATAGAATAGTATATTATTTTTATTTGCAGGTATTATTGTTGTCTTTAAAAACAAATTGCATATAATTACACAATCTAAAACTATTGTATACATAATTTTAAATAATTGCTCAATTTTATGTATGTACATATTTCGTAGAGTGTGGCTCAAAGCAAAGGACAACAGATACAAAATGGAGACTGAGATGCCAAACTTTCCTCTTGTTACTACTTAATTCATGAACCCAAGTAAGGAGTTAGTGCTTTTCAGCAAAAGCAGTTTAAGCACCTCTTATACAATCAGAAATGAGCTTGTGTTGGTCCAGGTGAGAAGTGTTGGTAATTTGATCAAAGGTAGGAAGCATAGAAACGGTGAGAAGTAACTGGTTCTGAGTGAATTTTACTGATAGAACCACAGGATTTGCTGAGGAATTTATTAAGAAGGAGAAATATGGTGAAAGTATCCTTCAAGTTTTAGGCTTGAGTAACCAGAAGAAAACATACAGTAAGATAGGAAAGACTAGGGGAGAGGCAGGTTTGAGAGGAAAATCAGTTCTGTTTGTCTTGGATTTGGGAAACTACGGGTTGGGAAAAGAATTTAAATTTACCAAGATGGAGAAGAGGAAAAAAAAAGATTTATTAGCATGCCATTGAAAGGGGATAGAATGGTGGGTGGCTATGCAAAGGAGCATTACCAAGAGTAAGTTTTATACCTTAGGTTAAGCCATTTTTGATTGGCTGTCTCCCTTCCTATGGACAATACTGATTGGTTGTCTCTTCCTCATTCATGGTTTGAATTTCATGCTGAGAACATCTCTGCAAGCTTAGATTTTATTTCTGCATTCCATCTGGGCCCCGCAGCAGCTCTGATGCATCCCCCATCCCCCCATTCCTTCTATTCCTTGGTATTCCTTTGTCTGCCATGTTTCCTTAAAATGGTGACCTCCTTCACCATTTTGGACATGTCAAATATATGTCAGTTATGTTTCTGGATATCATTCTTAGGCCCAAATTGGAGCTGAAGGCAGAAATTTGGAAATTGTAGCCACATAGAATAATTGGAGTAATTAGCCTATGTCATGTCTTTTCTAATTTACAATTACATTAAATATTGCATATTAATCTGTTCCCATTCAGTCATCATCAAATATTTATAACCTGTTGGGTATGAGCCAGGTACTGTGTTAAGTTCTGAGAATGCAGCAGTGATAGTAGACATTCAAAATATGAACATACAGCATTAGATCATTCCCAGGTCTAGGTTTGCATTAAATAGGACTTCAACTATTCCAATCATCATAACTTCTCTGTATCACCCAAATTAGCACTAATATGTTTATTTGATTCTTCCATATTAAAGTAGTCTTCATTAGATCACTTAAGCTATTTGAAAACAGAAGTCATATTTTTTTTCCAAGTTTATCACATATGGTGTCTAGTACAATTCTGGAAACATTAAATATTAAAGAATTTTTATTAATTGATTATATGATTTTTTGAATTGCTCAGAAGCAGTAATATTTTTGCCAATTTTATCTTTTTCTTTAGCATAGATTGTACAGATAACTTGAGAATATTAGTAAGTCTTTCCCTAACTCTAATTTTAAAAGATTGGTATCTTTCATTTCATTCACTTCCAGTAGTGCCAAGTTATTTTTAGCCCTATATATTTTTTTCAATTTGCAGCCAGATTCTACTGCGACTGAAAGAGCAATTGCCAGACTAGCAGTGCACCCTCTTCTGAAGAAGAAAATAGATGTGCTGAAAGGTATGAATGAAATGACTCAAGCCAGTGTGCCTAATGTATTGGCATATGTGACTTTGGATAAATGGCTATTCATTTGTTTCAAGAATTGTCCTTTCCACTCTTGAGAATATTTGCTATCATAAACATAAATTTATTTCAAATATTTACAAATATGGGGAGTATCCTACAGATACGGAGAGTGATATTTGGAAAACACTGAATTTGTACATTTCCTTAAATATTATCATGTATCATGTATAATATATACAATATGTATTTTATAGCTAGGCACTGGTGGCTCATGCCTATAATCCTAGCTACTCAGGAGGCAGAGATAGAAGGATTGTGGTTCAAAGCCAGCCCAGGCAAACAGATTGTGAAACCATGTCTAGGAAAAAACACTTCACAAAAAAGGGCTGGTGGAGGGGCTCAAGTGGTAAAGCGCCGCCTGCCTACTAAGCGTGTGACCCTGGGTTCAAACCCCAGTATCAGAAAAAATTATATAAGCCATATTTTATGCCTAATATACACATAATTGAGTTGAATATAGTCATTCTAAACATTGATAAAGATCATTGCTTTTGATCTTGCCTCTGCCATGATTTTGTGTATATATTATAAAATACTTATAGAATGAAACATTTTTGTCACAGATTAGTGTTTATTTTTAATGTCTGGAAACAAAGTAATTCCATGCATTATTACCACAGAAGGTAGTTGCTGTTTTATTTTATTTATTTGCATTCACTGACTTTTTAACTGTTCTTTATAATTCAAAGACATGAAGAAAGGGTGATTTTTCTTTTCATTTGGCAGTTTAAAATGGTTATATCTGAGCACATCCCATTAGTTTGGTTTTTGGGAAGTCAAAATATTTCTCTGTGAATTCAAACCCATTTTATATATTTAATAAAAATTCCAATTGTCCTCCTAAATCTTTTCAAATAATTTAAGAAATGCTGTATTGAAATAGTGATGTTTTTATGTTTCAATGCTGAAAGAAGTCATGCACTATTTTTCTTGCAGCTGCTGTCCAAGCCTTTAAAGATGCAAGACAAAATGCTCCTGACATTGAGTCATCAAAGAATACTTCAGAAGAAAATCATTCTCAGGACACTTCGTGTTCAAATGACAATGCAAGTGAATTACAGCAGCGTGGGAGAACTGTTATCAGTGAGCAAAAATGGAAAGATGCCAAAATACTGGCAAAGAAACCACTAAGTGATACAAAAGAAAAAACGTGCAAGATGCAACATGGAGCCAAAGCAGTGGACATTCCAAATGCTCCATCAAAGCTTTCAGGAAATCAGAAGACACTTGCTAACCCAGAAATTAAAACATTAAGTCAAACCACAAAAAAGAAGGGGTCTGATAGCTCTCTTGGTAACAGTGAAAGTGAGGAAGAATTCTCTGAAGAGGAAAAGGAGTACTTTGATGACAGCACAGAAGAAAGGTTCTATAAACAATCGTCCATGTCCGAGGATAGTGACAGTGGTGACGACTTCTTCATTGGGAAAGTCAAGCAGACACGAAAGAAGGAAAGTAGTTCCCATTCTTCAGCTAAGGAACAAAAACCCTTCCAAAACATGTTACCCACAGAAGATGCATATGAAGACCACTGGGATGTGAGAAATGAGAAAAGTAAGCCACTTGCAGAAGCCAGGAAGTTAGAATCAGTGTTTTTCCACTCTTTATCTGGCTCTAAAAGTTGTAGAAGGTAATGATACTTTTTTTATTCTGAAATAATTATTCTTAATTTTTTTAAAGATATGAAATATCTACATATCCTAGCCATAAGGGAAGAAAATATCTCCATGCATAATTCCAGTTTATACAGCCCATCCTGTTGCTCTACTAGGCCCTCTTAACTTTACAGTGGGTGACATATATAAATGTGCATATGGTGATGCCACCTCTGTGCAGCTTCATGAAATGAGACATTGGAGCCAAATAGCGTGCCTAGTTAATTTGTTTTTATTCCTTTAGTTACCAGACTTAAAACTGAATTCTTTTTTGATGAAAAACTTTGAAATTTTTTTACATAACAACTTTCTGAAACGGATATGGTGAGCGGTTTTGTTTCATTTTGTTTTGTTTTGGTTTGGTGGCTCTGGGATTTGAACTTAGAACCTCCTGCTTGATAGGCAGGCTCCTGCTTGAGCCATGCCGGCAGTCTGTTTTGTTCTGGTTATTTTGGAGATGGGAGCTTGTGAGCTATTTGTTCTGACTGGCCTTGAACCACAACTCTCCCAATCTTAGCCTCCCAGTAGCTAGGATTACAGGATCGAGCCACTGGCACTCCGTTATAAATTTTTCTTCATTTATAAATCACAACACTATCTCTCCCACCAAATATAAGTCTTAATTTGTGTTATATGTGATTCACGCTTCCTGAGAGAAGACTTGAAATTCTTTATATAGCAAGTAGTCCCCAAGAACAGAGACAAACACAATAGATTACTAGAGTTTGAACTCAGGGCTTTACAGTTGCTAGGCCAGCACTCTACCACTTGATGTCATACCCCCTGACCCTTTTTGTTTTTAGGTATTCTTATTCAGGAAGGGTCTCATGCTTTAGGCCTGGCAACCTCAGACCTCAGTGCCCTCTCTGTGCCCCCTGGGTAGTTAGGATTCTAAGTGTGAACCACCATGCCTGGCTTGTTTGTTGAGATGGGTATCTCACTAACTTTCCACAGGTTGACCTTAAATCCCTATCCTCCAGATTTATATGTTCTGAGTAGCTGGGATTCTGTAATCCAGTACCTACTTATGTGAGCCACTGTGCCTGGCAGATTACTTTTAAGTTATAAACAGAAGTCCCTGTGAGGTTGGAGACAGGAAAACTCCTTAATAATAAGTCCAAAGTTATATTGGAATTAAACAGACATTTAACGTAGCTAAAACCTGAGTTCATTTATTGAATGTATGATAGTCCCGTCATGAATGAGTTTTATCATCTATTTCATCGTGCCATGTTCTTAAAATCTTTAAAAGATCAATTATCTTTTAAATGTCATAATGGTGTTTTTCTTCTTTTAGGGATTATCGGGAACAAGCGCCAAAAAGTAAAATCTCAGGTATGTATTAATGGTTGCTGACTTCCATATGCAAATAACCAGTACCTCACCAGATCGAAGGATGAACAAGTGTAATTGCTTAATAATTGGAAACAATATCTTATAATTATCAATGTAATTGTGTAAGTTTTTATTGTCTTATTGTTTGTTTTGGCCTTCCATGTTAGCAGCACTGTGTTCCCATTCTCCATGTCATTGTGCTATATATATGAAAAGGCACTCAATAAACTTTCACTTTCGGGGGTGAGCAAGTGTGTCCCCAGATTAACTTCTCAGGTGTAAAATTCAGCTTCAACAGATCCCTGTTGGACTTCAGTTTAAATTGTGAGGTATTGTCTTCCAGTAAAACAAAATTTCTTCCTTTAATAGTTCATTTAGATAAGATGACATCTATTTTTTTATGCCATTTAGATATAGTTTTTATTGTTTTTGTTTTCTCTTCCCAGAAAATGAACTTCAGATCAAGAATCTGTTTAAAAAGCATGCACAGAGAGGACTTGAAAACACAAAGCAGCAGCTGCATTTGCCTCTCCATCCCTCGTGGGAGGCGAGCAGGAGGCGGAAAGAACAGCAGTCCAAAATCACGGTGTTTCAGGGGAAAAAAATTACATTTGATGATTGATTGCCACCTCTTTTGTGAGCTATCTATCTAAAACTTAGTGTCTTTCTTCCTTTTTTCCATTAGCCTATTAATTTAAACTTCATTTTGAATAAGTCTCCTTGAACTTCTTTTTCAAGTGAGTTCAGGTTGTTTGCATAATGCCCCCAACAAATCAAGTACACATGCAAGTTCATTTTTAATAGTACCCCCAAGTTATTCCTTCCATGGAGGGACTTGGAGGTTTTAGGTTTCTCATGTGTGCTTATGGAGTGTATTTAGGGGTTTCAACTTTCGTTTTTATCCTGGAAAAGAAATGTCAAAAATTTTTTTAAATAATGAGGAAATCATAGTCACTTACACCTTTGATAGAAGTACTCCAGTTAGCAAAATAAAAGTAGCAGCTTTTATCATGGGTGCATAGGTATTATATAAGTAAATACTAAACTTCATAGTTGTAATGACTTGTGATGTTGTGCTTTTCACTGTTCTAAAAGAGTTTTCCAGAAAAATTTGAGTTCCTTAAATATGTTTCAGTTATTTAAGCAACCATAAAACAGTAATTATGTAAATATTTCCATTAAATCAAGAATATGTAATGTCTACTTATTTGACCACATGCTCTTATAAAAACTTTTGTTTTGGTTTTTATTTGAGAACAGGGTCTTACTGTGTTGCCCAGGTTGGCTTCAATTTGCAGTCATTCTGCCTCAGTCTCCCAAGAGCTGGGGTTACAGGTGTGCCCACCACACCTGGTGTTGAAATTGTTTTTGAAAAATCATAGATTGCTATTCAAGAGAACAAGTTCTAGAAGGAGGGGGGATTGATTGAGAGATTATCTCCTCTAAAGGCTGAGCAGAGAAGTCGTGAGGTGACTGCTGAGAAAGTGCAGCTTTATGTATTACAGTATGTTATTTAAAGGAAGAGGGAGATTTTAAAAATCCCTTCAAACATCTCACTTTTTTGCCACTAGAAGAAAAATGAAAGGGTTTTTCATTAACTAAATAAGCTAACTAAATTCCATGTTTCCTGCATGTTATGTTAACGGAAGAGAACATTGTGTAGTCTGCCTGAACACACAGGTTCTTGAGAGTAATTTCTTTCTATTTTAAGAGTTTAAGAATTTAGATAACCAGAGCAATGGAACTCAAAAGGCAATGCAGAAACAAAATCATTTTTCTGTATTGAGCACGAAAACATTTTTTTAAATGTTTATTTTGACATAATTTCAGATTGATAAAAAACAAAGGAAAGAAAAATTTATCTGTACCTACCCAGTGTTCACCCTGGAGGAAGTTAGCAAGTAGAGGCCAACAACTAAAAGGTCAGATGGAAGAGTTTTACATCTGCCACTGTTAGGTTTTGCTACATGGAAAGCGCTGTTGGGCTTGGATACAGTGAAGTTACTTAGGATCAGATTTGCCCTTTTGAGGCATGTGTTTTGTGAGAATCAGCCTTAGTTGATCAACTGTCGGTCTAAGGCAATGATTCTCAACTTGGGGCACCTCTTAGGTTTCTTCTCTCCACTTGAAGAGCACCACAACTGGGGATCAAGCCTCCAGTCCAGTACCTGAGGTTTTTTTGTGTCTGGGGCGGGGGGTCGAGGTGGGGCACTTCATTTCCAAACCATAACACTTACCAGGTTGTTCCAGTGTCCTTTTCCATGTAGGTTTTCTCTAACAGTGTGAAACCTAGCTTCCGCTCTCCACAGTACCTCAAAATGCACAGAAGTTCATCTCAGACTTGCTATATGACCCTCCACCAGAGAAGTCAATTAGCCAAAGTTCAGTATTAGTTTAGAGTTCTTTTTTCTTTAACTTGAGGGCTTATGGTCTTTAACCTGTTTGAAAGTAACCTAGGATAATGATAAGCAAAAATGGCACTTTAAGACCATCTGAAAATTCCTCTCTTTGTAAAAGTAGTAAGAAAACTTCAAATTGTTAGAATCAACTAACTCAAGAGTTGGTCCTAGGTTGCAGCAATCTAGGGAATATTTATTTCAGAAAAATGTCTGAATCTTGATGAGAACAATGATTGTTGTCATATTTTAATCTGCTTTATTCCCGGTGGCCTTGAAAACCCACAGCCTACAGTCACCATAAAAACCAGCAGTCTGACAGCCACTGGAGGGGACGAAACATGATTGGAACTTCTTCAGAGACACATTCCCATAGAAATTAATCATTTGGCCTGTTGGTCATTCACTGAAAGACCCCCCCCCACTTGCAAGACTGACTTTATTTGTTATGAGTCAGAGATTGCTTAGTTTGATAACACTTTTCCCTCAGATAGCTTTCAGAAAACAATTAGAGGCAGTTGTTCAACATCGAGGCTGCTTGAGGCAGTGGATAACAGTTGAGGTAAACAGTAAGTTAACCAAAAAAGCTGAAAAGGAAATCCTCAAAGGTTAATGTAATAATCATTGGTTCATTAAAGAGTTCAAACGTATTTCTTGAAATCAAATAGATAATGCACATGCATAAAGCTATGTGTATGCTCAGGAGACAGCTGAAAAGAACCTACATTGATCACTGGCTGAGTGAGACGCTGCCCAAACCACAGTACCAAGGGTGAGGGAGAATTGTCATCTTCCCAGTAAGTGATGAAGATGTGCTCCTACACCCAGGTCCTCAACAGAGAGAAGTATTCATTTCAGGCATTTAAGAAAATCACTGTTAATTATTATTAGCAAACTACTAAGCTGAATGAAACAGACTTCAGTAGACATACAGAGCAGAGAGTATAGACTTCACATAATCATCAAGGAAAATCAGAAACGTCCATAAGCCCTGGACAGTGGGGAAGGGGGAGGATCTAATTTAAACTTGCAATATTATAGTACTTCACATATCCAGTTTTCAAAAAAGAAAAAAAAATTGTGAAAATGGGAGACATGCAAAAACAAATTAGGTCCCTGCACTGCCATAAAAAAGCAGAAAATACAAATTCCGTGAAGAAGTGCAGACTCACACGACTTACTCTACAAAAACAAAGAACCTATTTGAAATATGTCCAAAGAACCAACTAGTAATAGAAATAGAGGATAATGAGTTCAGAATTAGAAGCCAAAAACTAAAGTTAAAAGCTATAATTACTGAAAAAAATTGGACAGAAAGGCACAACAGTACATTAAGCAGGTAAAAGAAATACTTGGTGAACTTGATGGATCAGTTGGTATTATCCAGTTTGAGGAACATAAAAAAGAATTAGCAGACTCACAGAGCTGCAGGATTCCATCAAATGTACAAACAGGCATAATGGATTCTCATGTGTCCCAGAATTTCCATTCATAAAAGTACATTCAAAACAGTTTGGAGGCATGCTGATATCAAAACATGTGACTGTTCATAGTACAAATGATAGCTAAAAAGAAAAAACCCAAATGTCCACATGGATAAGCAAAGCATGGTATATACATGCCATCAAAAGGAGTGGAGTGTTGATACACACTACCTCATGGATGTGTTTTGAAAACTTCATGCTAACTGAGAAGCCAAACAGTTATGATTCTACTACATGAAATGCCCAAATAAGTAAATCCATGGAGACTAAAAATAGACGAGTGATTGCAAGGAGCTGGGGAAAGCAGGAGTAGAGTCTACAAATTGGTCTGGCATTTCCTCTTGGGAAGATGATGCGTTTTGGAATCAAATAATAGTATTAAGTGTACAACCTTGTGAATATACAAAACCAGTGAATTGTGCACCTAAAAGTCACTAGTATATAATGCTGCATTGTATCTCGATTTTTTTTAAATACTGGGTACTTAGTTTACTGCTTTTTCTCCCTGCCCTCTTCATTTGAAGTACAGTGTGGTTCTGTTTCTGAGGTATTTTAATGACTTTTTCCCTCCATCCTTGATAGTTCTGTTAATTTCTTTTTATGTAACATTAAAAATGTTCCGTAGGTCAGTGCTGTGTGAAACGGCCATAATCAATGAAGTGGCAGCTCCCCTCATCCATCTCTGTCCTTTTCCACAATACCCATACATTCCCTGTGAATAATCCCTGGTAAATCCTTCCTGTGTTTCTATTTGTACAGGTGAACAGCTAGATGCCTATGTTTTCATTTCCCTTGTTCCCTTACATGAAGTAGCACTTTCTATATGCTTTTATGAATTTTATTTTCATTTAAAATTATATCTTGGCAATCACTATAAATTTGTTCATAGAGACCATCCTCATTAAGAAAAATTATAGCTCTCCATTGAGTAAATGTGTCAGAATTTATTAACATTCCTCTAAGTATGGATAGATAATTTTCCATGATTTGCCATCCAAACAATGTTAAAAAAGCAGTATGTATTTTCTTATTGTTGGAGGTATGTCTTTGGATACATTCCTAGAAGTGGAGATACTATGTCAGAAGGTTAATACACATACAGTTTTGTGAAAGTTAGCCAAATTCCCTCCATGAATGTTGTGGCAATTTGTACTTCCACTGACAATACATTAAAGAGACCTGTTTCTCTACAGCCTTTGCAATAGAGTGTGATGCTCTATATTTTGATTCTGGGCTGTTGAATGGGTGCTAAATATTACCTCAGTATAAAGTAACCTTTGACTACATTTCTTATTATGGGTGGATGTGAATGCTCTTAAGGAACACTTTCACATCCATTTTTTTGTGAATTGTTTTTTCCCCATATCTTTTGCTTTTTTTTGTTTGGCATACCATCCCCTGCTCCTTGGTCTTTTTCCTCCAATTTTTAGTTTCTTTATGTATCAGGGATACTAGTTCTTTTTCTGTTAAATATATTGTAAATGTTTTTCCCAGTTTATCAGTTGTCTTTTGGTTTTGTGTTATTTTCCTACCATGTTGACTTTTCTGCCATTTATTGCATGTAATATTTCATTTTTACAAATGGATTGAGCATAATAGTTAGAAAAATCTCAATTCTTTCCATTTGCCTGGAATACCTTTATTTTTAGCCTTTCCAAGTCATTCTTTATTCAGGTGTGTCTTTAGAGCATACAGTTGAGCCAAGTAGGAAATCTTTTCCACTTAAGTAAATTAAGCACTTTCATATTTACTGATAACATGAATATGTTTGCTCTCATCCCTGCTAGATTATCTCATGCTGGGATTATAGTTATTGTATTCATTCTGCTGCTTTTCCTAATATGTTTGGTGTGAACTCTTTTTTTAAAAAATCTAAAATTTGATATTTAGGAAGTTTATTTTTGGCTCATACCTTTTTTCATGTCTTTAGTTTCCCTAGTTTTTAATTTATACCATTTTATCCATCTTTAGTGATTTTTTCATTTATTTCTTAAATGTTAATGGGTTTATTCTGCTTTCTTCTTTTCTCCTATTTGTAAACTGCATTATTTTTGCTTCTTTAAAACATAGAGTACGTCAGCATTATCATACAGTATTATTCTACCCTGTCCCCATCTTCATTTTAATCTTAGATTTACAAATGCATGTATTAAATGCTAAATTTCTAAAGTTTCCCCAGTAACTAATTGCTTGGTTAAAGTTCATTTTTCTAACAGATTCCCAAAAAATAACTCATTGAAAGAATTTTTTGAGCTGTTGATGTTTTAGAAAACCTTTTAAAGGTTCTTTTAGATATGTTTTTCCTGTAGATTTGATACTTAGGGGATTGTAGCTGGATCTTGGGTTGTGGTTTCCTCTGTTGACCTTACCCTTCTTCTTTGTGACAGCTGAACGCTTCGTGAATCTTTTTTGGGAGAGTTTCTTGACTTCTC